CCCCCCGCCCTCGCCGCCGTCCTGGCCCTCTCAGGGCTGGCGCTGAGCTGCTGCCGCGAGCCCGTTCTCTCCGGTGAGTGACGCGTCGCGGGGAGCCGGGAGAGGGGTCGCGTTTGGGGCTGCTCCCCAGTCTCCTCGCAGGTCTGAGCGGCGAGGGAGCTGGGCAGGCTCTCCGCGAACTCCGCAGACTTGCAGCTGGCGCGCACTTTGCCGCGGAAGGGTTCTGCCGCCCGACAGCACGTCTTCGAAGTGGCGACGACGTCCCTTCCTGCTCGCCAGGTCGGAGCAGGGCTCGAAGCTGCTCGTGAGAACATGCGGGGCGTATTTTCGTGCGCACTTTGCAGCGTTGTGGGTATTTGAGGATCTCCCGGTGCTCGCTGAGCTGGGAGCTTGGAAAACTATGAAGGCATGAGGTAAGAGGAAGAGCAGCGTGTTTCTCTGTCACAGTGGTTTGTTAGCTAGATCTGCGGAACAGAGGCGTCTGCAGGGAGAGGGGAGTGCGGGGCGTGGGTACACTTACTCACTGGGAAATTAAGTAACCAGTGGCAGCAGGGCAGAATCGGGGCTGCAGAGCCAGAGCTTGGAGGGTGGCCATCTCGCCTGCCTGCAGCATGGTGCTCTCTGTCAAGCACAGACGACTCTGACCATTCAGGTTCTCGTTCAGCCAAGGAATCTGGGAAGCCTGAAGCTTTGCTACCTGTTAGTGTGGTTTTTCACTTAAAATTTCTCTGCACCCTTTTGTCCTCATCTCAGTTGTTACTGATGTTTTCAAGTACTACGGTTCTCCTCTGATAAACGTTGGCCCTGCTTTGCAAGATCAGAAGTGGCTGTTCCAGACGATCAGTGTCTCAGCCAATGGATGCATGGTCCTCCTGGATACATTTTGCATATTCTAATCGTTATTATTCTTTGTAATATAGAATTTGCTCTACTTCCTTTTGCTAAGAACAGATTTTTGGTCATCAAGTTTTTGTAGATGCACTTGATTAGATTTGGAAAATACTTACATAGACTTTCTCGGGGGGAAAAAAGCCTTTTATCAGAAAGAGAACTCCAAAGGTAAATTTCATAACTTCTCAGAAGTTACCTCAAGTAACATAAGAGTATTTTTAGGTAAGTGTGTAGAGGGCTGCCTAGACAAGGACATATCTAGACCATGTCTAACAGTCTGTTCCCAGTAGCATTAGGACATGTTTGGTGCACACAGTAGGTACTCCTTCCTTTGCTTAAGTTGAAGAATGTCGTCTTGTGACTGTGGACAGAAAGCTCCATATGTGACCATATCCCTCACAACAGGCTTCGTGACAGCAAGTGGAGGATATGTCCCGGTGTGAGTGTTTGGTTCATAGGCTATTGAGAGCGTTCTGTCTGTTTATGCACCTGCACTTCCATCCTCTAGCCAACTTCTAACTGCATGCACTGGTGGCCACTGAAGGGGACAGAGATGCATGAGCACAAGCAGCTGGGGTGGGAGGAAGAATATATAATGCCTCCAAGTGAAGGGGTAGCAAAGGAGAATGGATCTAGAAAGCACTGTCACCTATGTGTCTTTTGCTAAAGAACCTGGAAACAATGCAAATTACACTTCAACAAGGACCTGTAATTTGGATGGCATATATTAAATCTGCAGAGTTGATAATCTGCACAAACCATACCTCAGGATCTTCTTCTTGACCCTTAATCCCACAGGACTGAAATGGGATCAGCTGGGTCAGGTTGCACTTGAAGCTAGCAGAATTCTGAAATGACAAACAGTAATATTTCTTTTGTAAGGCAGTTTGTTATATGGTATGTTTTTAATGCCTATTACTTTTTATCAAATGCATGTCTTAATAAGTGTATTGTAAAATGCAGTCAGAATACAGGCTGCGTCACACCATCATTTGCTAAGAGAGAAACTTTAACTTCTGGAATTGCTTTATGAAAAATGAGTCAAATTGTCAGAAATCAGAGTGAGTTAACAGTCATTTTTGTACATAGTACCGTGCTGCTTTTCACAGAATGTTTCTGCTTCGCTGTGTGACGTCTAAAGGTTTCTCTTAATCCAAACACTGACATTCGCAGCATTCAGACTTTCATACCACATTTCTCAAGTGAATCAGAAATAAGAGATGGGTGAATAGATTGCCTAACATTAAAGGACTGTCTAAATTTGGTGAGTTTTGTGTTACAAGGCCAAAGAGTTGGAAATGCCTTCGACAAATGTTAGTTTCAATGGACAAATGTTATATACTCGGTGCAGTAAGTTCTCATTTCTAGTTTCTGTATTTATAGTGTTCATTTAATTTCCCCATCAGAAATGTGTATGATTATCAGTCTCCTTTTCCTTTCTCTGTTTTTCTTTTTTTTCCATTTAGCAATACTAGGTCACCATGGTTTTCTTCCCAGCTGAGTCTTTCCTTTGAGCTGCTATTTCAGCTTTCTCTCACAAACCTTGCATCTCTTGTCATCTTTTTCGGCCTATGTCTTGCTGATTCAGAGAAGCAGTTCTACTCGGTATGCCTTAAGAAATCATAATGGAAATAGTTGAAAAAGCATTTCTAATCAGACAGACAGAAAATGAAATAGTCAGACACTTCAGTATATCGTGCTTGTACATGCGTAGAGTGTAACTCAAAATCCAGAGTTATGTGAATGGATTTAGGCAGGATGGAGCCAAAGAAGTGGGAGGGAGGCAGGGATTACATGCTGCCAGCTGCAAAATTTGCACTCTTTGTCATATCACACCATAATGGTTGTGCAATTGGCCACTCCCTCCATCCACACAGTGGCTATGGCCCATCCTGATAAAATTTCCAAAGGGATTCAGTCTGCCACGCTTGACAATGGAAGAACAGTTTTAAAACTTCACAAAGAAAGAAAACAAATGGGTGTATTAAGGAACAGAAATTCTTATGGGGCCACATCATGCATTCTTACTTCCAGTGATAATCACAAGGCAAGCAAGTGTGTTTGCATCTTGCGGCTGAGGACCAGCCAGCAGCTGCAAAGCTATGGCTAATATAGCATGTTTACATTGGACGAAGAAAAAGAAAACAGGTACAAAATACATACTTTTAAGCATTAGAAATAATGGTAACTGGCTCTCATGCTCATATCCTAATTTACCTTCTTCCAACATATTCCAGAAAGGGTCTGGCCCGTCAGATCAGTCAGATAGATAGCATTTAGTTGTTTTTTTTTTTTTTAAATTTTTTTTGAAGAAAAAGGAAAAGGGATGAAAAAATGATTAGATTGAGGGTTAGTAATCAAAATTTCACAAGAATAGCAAGTTCACATATGTAACAACACACACTGCCAGGGAGCACAAGCATGGAACTCCACATGTCTGTACATTCCCAGGAATGTACATTCTTACAGGGCAGATGGATGCTTAAGTCAAGGTTTGATCAAATGTCAGGTTAGTATTCACTGTGACTACTCTCTGGTTTGGACCAACGCTAAATAAGAATCTAGTTCTGATCAGCAAAAATTACTGCATTTGAGGACTTTAAAAAATAATATGTGTGTCTGCGTGGATACGTAGAATGAGAGAGAGAGGATTTTTAAACTGCGTGCACAGTGCCCCTACACTGCAAAGGAGAAATGATCAGCTAACCAAATGCTCTCATAGAATCAGATCAGAATTCAACTGGCTGATTTACCAAATGGGGAGTTATTTTCTAGCAATTTTGAAAATTGCGATTTTAAAGAAAGATTATTCTTTCCTGAGTTTTTTTCTGTAGTTTGTAACAAACGTTGGGTTGTGGGGTTTTTTACTGTTACAGTATACGCACTCAAGCCTGATATAGTTTTGATAAGGGCTTTTGTTATATTAGTATTAATTGGAATAGTAAAGTACTGAAATGTAAAAATCCTACACTAGTTTTTCACTTGGGTAGGTCTAAAACAGCCTTATACTTCCTGAAAAATATTTATTTTGTATTATAATATGGAATGAGATTATTTTTTCTGACCAATCATATGACTGTATGCAAATTAACTTTTTGGTTTTATCGATAAAACTGCATCTTCAAAGAAAACCATTGCACTGCTAAAAATATTTTTAATAATGACCACAGAAGCCATATTTGTCTCTTTGATCTCCTGAAGCTTCTTCTGGTTTTAATCAGTGTTCCCACATGAAGAACTGTGGCAACCTATGATAATAGAATCCCTATTCGCATCCATAGGGAAACAAAAATGTTCTCATCTGAAGAAGGTAATTTGGTGTTCTGCCCCTTCCATCCGTGGGCCCCTGCCTCTGTTACTGCTGGGGTATCTTGGCATCAGTTAAGTGGTTTCTGTCCTTTCCTCTGTGCATTACTCTCTCATTGAAGTGTTTCTGCTGTCTAATTATACCCTTTCAATCAAATTAGAGACTGCAGCATCTGGTTAGTGCCTGTAACTGTTGCCATCTGCACCTAGATACAGTGCTTTCATTTAAGGAGGAGTGCTTAAATTGCAATCTCTGGCAAGAAATAGGAGAACAGTTTAGGTAGAATGGAAATGACTTAAAACTCTTCTTAGAATGCTATGCAAGCACATGCATTGAGCAACTGACACCTAGTCATTATCGGACCTGGCACCTTTGGTTCCATATCCTTATATTCTGCGTAAGCACTTCTCTGACTCTTGTGACAGGCTGTAAGAAAAACAAGTGAGGACTGAGCAGGCAGTTATAGCATGTAAATTCAAGGAACCTTTATTTCTTGCTCCAGCCTTACAGAACATTTAATGTTCTGGCTATCACACCATGGTAATGAAACCCAAGATTTAACTAGCAGCCACTTTCATTTGCCTTTCATTAATCTGCAGATTTTAAAAAGAAAACCTTGCTTCTTGTTTGGCAGTAGCTAGTAGGATAATTTCTGGCCTGGGTAGGCTAATTTCTGGTTGCTAATTGTTGTCAACCTTTAATCTCTCCAGCCACTAGTCAGCACTCCCAGTAGCTTCCAGAATTTAAAGGAAAAAAATAAAGCGAGTAATTTTATTTTTTTCAGTGAAATAGTGACAAGTTAGTCATTCTGAATTTTCAGTCTCAAAAGCTATGTACGTGTCCCAAACTTAGAAGAGTGCTCTAAGAAGTCATTG